ACACCAATCAGTTTGTCACCCTGCTCCTTGACCAGCTTAAAGTCATCCGCCAGAATATCGCCGACCACCAGGTTGATGCCGAAGCCCTCTGCGCGGGAGCGCATCACCGCAATGGTCTGAGGGTGGCAGAGGTGAGACACCACGTAAGCCTTGCCGGCCTTCTTCTGCTTCGACATGGGCAGGGTAGCCAAGGACATGGTCATGGCTTCAGCGGCCGCAGTACCTTCATCCAAAACCGAGGCATTGGCGAAGGGCAGACCGGTGAGATCGGCAGTCAGCGTCTGGAAGTTCAGAAGGGACTCCAGACGACCCTGACTGATCTCCGGCTGGTAGGGAGTGTAGCTGGTGTACCACGCCGGGTTCTCCAGGACGTTACGGAGGACGACTGGGGGCACGATGGTCGGGTAGTAGCCCGTTCCGAGGTATGTCTTGCCCGAAACATCGATTTGCTTGCGGTAGGTATCCAAGAGCTTCAGCATATCCGTCTCCCCCAAACCACCGTGCACGCTGCTGTGGGGAAGATTGGCGGTGGAGTGCGGAGCAGAGACCTTCAGGTCTTTCTTGGACAGAATGTCCGCCGGCAGCACTTGCTTGACGAACTCATCGAGCGACGCTACCGGAGGATCCAGGGTGGCAAGCATCTCCTTGGCGGCATCGGGACTGGGGCCAATATGACGTCTGGGGAAGGTATCGAGGGGTTGGAAAAGATCCGGGGGATGAGGCACGCCATGATCCGCGACGGAGCTGGTGTAGACGGGCCGTCGTGCGGAGGGCGACTGCTGTGTGGTGGTGTGAAGGGAACGAATCAAGGGAGAAGCTCTCCGCACCGCAATTGGCGAGGGAGCAGCGCGCAAACGAGAGCGCAGCGCCAGCTGGCGAGTGCCACGCAGAGCGCACAAAGATGCAGCCATACCTACAATTGAGCTAGTCCAACAATTTCAAGAATGGCGGACGGTAGGTAGGTGGGTGGGTAGGAGGGGAGTCTGGGGAAGGGGAGGTATAGACCCGGTTGCGCGAGACTTCAGCACATGAGATTGCGCAACACAGTTGAGTAGAAGGAGGTAAGGGAGATGAAGAGGAGAGAGGAGAGAAGATGAAATTAATCGCGACGATGAGTGATAAAAAGAAAAGAATAGACTGAAGGGGAGCAGATAGCAAGAATAATTAATCCTCCTCGACCGCGGGCGCCACGGATACTCGCGTCGGGAAACTGTCTGTCCGGCCGATAACGCTGGCCCCGGGCCAATCAGAGAATGAGATACAGCTCCGGTCCCTCGCGATGGAGCCCCGCCATTTGCGATAAGCCCGCGATAAGATTTTCTTTCCCGCGGGAAATGCTTACCTGCATTTATCTGTTTGATCAATTCTTGCACTGAGTCTTTCGTTATATTTGATGCTTGAAGAACATATGTGGAGGAATTAAATATATCTCAGTGAGCAGATGCTCCACTGCTAACCTTCTCACCAATTGACCTTTACAAAATGTTGAATGGAGGAAAAGAACAGCTTCCCTCCGCAATGGAAGCTCCTCCGATAGCGTTCCCCGGTGATGCAATCATGACTTTCCCCGTGGAGCTGGGCCCGTCGGTAAGAGTCCCCCTTGCGAGCTGTGCGCTGCTGCAGCTGCAACTTGAACATCTAATTCCAGTCTCTGACTTACGTTACTGTGTATGTACAACTGGTCTCAGCTGTTCATTGGTACTCCAAAAATTACTCATCTGATAATTATGGGCATTGCACATCCTTGCTTACACAATGCATCTAGTTATGCAAGAGTACCGATGGTAGCGTGCAGCTCCCGATCTAGAACACTAACACCCCGGCTGCTTTCCCGACGGGCAAATCCATTGCGCTCCACATCATTGGCTATCTCCAGTATTTGACGGCACAAACATCAACGGAATACTAGTAGTAAGTATGTAATTCCATATCCCCATCCCGACAGAGATACCAGCCCAAATCCACACGATACCAAATCAAATATAAAAACCCTACTTTCCCTTCCTAGATAGTATACCGGAAATCGGCGGACCCCTCGATAACACGCTCTCCCCGATCGGCTTGCTTGTTCGCGTATCGGAACCACACACTCAGAGCAGCCACCGTGATCATCGTAACAAGGTTGCACCTGTATCACGCTTAGCTTAGTGCAACCAAAAAAACGCACCCAAATTCATAATAATGATAAAAGTTAAAGAGACAGGAAACTCACGCAATAGTTGTCCATATCCCCGGTCTATATTCCGGCGCATCTTTCGACTGAAACACCAAACTACTGAGGATGCCACCAATGGCTCCAACTCCAATTAGCGTCGCGCTGCAGAACGCGCGCGTCCACTGGCCCCGGATATTGTTGGCTTGATAGGCCATGACAGCGGGGATATTGGAATTCGCCCCCGCGACCACTAGGAATACTCCCACGTATCGCGCTGCATTGCCTTTAGCAAATCCCATTAGCGGAAGGCCGATGATGCCGACTACGGCGTTGAACGCCACGATTGGTCCCCGTATACGATACCGATCGCTTACCCAGGCTGTTGTATACATCACGATGCCCGCGAAGCCGTAGGGAGGTGCGACTAGACATTGTGCGGCGCCCGTGCTGAAGCCCATTCCGTCTTGGAGGATGATGGGGAGGAAATACGCGATGGCGTATGCCCCGGTTGTACTGCATCTGCTTGTTGTCAGATCTTAACAGGAGTAGTGGCGTGAAGAGAACTAACAGGCAAATCAACGCGAAACCCCATATCTTCAGTTCAAGAGCAGGGGTAAAGAATCGCTTGAAGGTAAAGGGCTCTCCATTTCCATCGGCACGGTCTCGGTTGATGCGTCGGACGATGAATGCACTCTCCCTCTCATTCAGGAACTTCCAGGACTTGTGTGCCTTTTCGGGAAAGTCAACCATGAAGACAAAGGTCAACAGTCCAATGACGCCCGTAATCTAGGGATCATTAACACAATGTCTCCCTGTTCGGATCAAAAACATACCACGCCCTCCATTATGAATATCCATCTCCACCCTGAGATGCCCTGAATGCCTCCCATTTGCATCAGACCGAAGGCCAGTACCCCCGCTAGTGCTGATGCTACACAGCCGATGAGGTAAAAGACCGAGTATCGTTTTTGGATGTCATCTGTGTTGTTAGTCAGAAAAAATGGGTGTTGGTCTGCGTAACTTACATCGGACATACCAACTCGAGAGGAGGTAAACGCAGCCGGGAAAGTAACCTATGAGAGGTCAATTGGGCCAAATGATGGTGTTACACCAAGTCGCACTCACCTGCTTCCAACGCACCAAGGAGCACACGGATTGCGACCATTTGCTTCCAGTCCTTGACGAAGCCCATTCCCTGAAGCAGCCATCATCAGACCTTAACACTAGGGACAATTGAGGGAATGAAGTCAACGTACAACAAGTATTGCTCCCCACGATATGACCAGCGTTCCTAGAAACAAAGTCGGGCCTACTTTCCGGATGATGACCGTCATCGGAGGCTGGAAGACAACGTAAGGTATGAAGAAAACGAGAATCACGACAGACTAGACCTCATCAGAATATGCATCCTCAAATAACAGAGTAGAACTCACATAGCGAGTCCCAACTCCAAGCTGCAAGTCCTTCGTCATACTGGCCTCGAGTCAACGACCGATCCAACACAACATAGTTTATTCATCAACCAAATTCAAGAAACTTACCCAGCAACCGCAGCCATACTAAGATTTGTCTTATCCATAAGCGAAATGCAATACGCCAGCCCAGCCATAGTCACCAGTCGACGATCAATCCGATGGATGATCTTGCGTTGCTCTGCAGGCGTAAATTCCTCATCGTAGTCCACATCATCAACCCCAGACTTATCGATATCCTCGATTTTCTCGACACTGGGTGGTTTCTCAATGTCCTTAGACGTCATGATGGCTCACTTTCAGCTATGTCAAATCGAATCCGAAAATATATCAGGTAGATTGAACCAAAAGAAAACCGAAGCAGGCTGCAACCATATATCAATAACCGCCCCCGGCCCCCCAACAACGCAACGCAAATCGCCGCGCTTGACCCCCGCGATGCGTGGCAAGCCACATTGCTCACACACCAGCTCAGCTGATAGCATGCGGTATTTGCTCAATGGTTACCAAACATCAGAAATACGAGTCTAGATTGGACCAACGTCGACGCAATGATGTATAGCACTACGCGTTCTCCACAATTTCCCCAGGTTTACGGATTTTAAGGCCGATGCGGGGAGCAGCGATGATCGAATGCGGGGGAGATAATTATCAGCCACTTTTTAAGGCTGCAGTCTATTGGGTGGACCATCTCCAGGTATAATTCTGGCGAACCTATCGAGGAGGTCAATCGGGTTGTTGTTCTGGTCGGGCCGAGATAGGCCCGCTTGTAGCTTTTAGGGGCTACCATCCGTGATCGTTAATGTCTACATAAGGAGGAGGCAAGCCTTGAAAGTATTTATAGATAAAAGAAGATGGGAAATTGAGTCATCTACCGTTATACAGAGAGCATTTCTAGTGATTGAACATCCCACGATGCAACAGAATAGTACGACCTTGGCGACGCAAATAATCTGGCCCGATTGGCAAGAATATATCTTTTGCGCACGAAACGGTGATAGAGGTCAAGAAAAGCCATCTAACAACTACTATACGAGCTAGGCAACATTCTTATCCAATTTAACCGACCAGCCCTACGGTATATTCCCTCCATTCCTGGAAGCATATGTCCCAGGCCTGCTCGGAACGTCTCCAGACGGATAAGCGCAAACCTAAGTATCCCCGCCACCAGGCCAAGTTTCTTTGTCTCTGTTCCCTAGCACTCCCGAATCCTGTCATATTTGCGTACGGGCTTCCACCTCGCGATGGCATTCGATGATATGCTCGGCCCGGTTTCGCAACTCCCCGGGCCGAGCTTAAGTTTGACCTATATCTAGGTTCCCAGCGGCCCGAATATAGAAATGCTAGTACTCCGTGTACTTCTGGTATCAGGCTCATTTCGTTGAAACTCGTGGGGCCTTGATCTCTTCGAACAGGAGAGCCTGGGCCTTTTGGGATAAACCATCACCTGCAGTACTCGAACCATTAGGGACAGTGCGGACCTTAGGATCATCAGAGTATCTCGCTGCCAAGGCTAGCATGGAGTGAAGAAGCAACGGAGCACAGTATCCATCATCCAATCGAGCTTCCAGACTCCTGAGAAACACTTTTTGATAAACCAAATTCTGCCAAGGGTTCTGCCAATTTCAGTAAATATCAAGGAGTTCTTCTCGGATTTCGGGATCTACATCAATTGGCTGTAATGGCGGGTTTGGGTTTTGGCGAAAGGTAAAGGGCTTTGCTCCCTGTCGTTCCATAAAGCTGAGATTGCTGCGCGAGCCAAAGTACCGCGGCTGGTCGCCTTCTTCAATGCTTAGGCCCCCAAGGACATCGGTGATATCATCAATAGGGTCTAGGTATTGAGACTGAGCCCCGGAAATATCTTTATTTCCCACTTTGTCATCCTGACTCTGCAACTGGTGAGTTATCTCACTAATAATGCCTCTTCCTTGGGGCTGATAATGTGCTAATTGTAACTCTAAAAAAATACGAGCATTCAGAGCTTGTATGTGCTGCTTGGTTGGTGGCCTTGTTCGTGTCAACGACCGACTAACAAGCAAAGTAACCGATTAGTATGCTTACTTGCGTTTCTCCTTATCATATTTATACTCGCAGTTTTCCGCGTAGCTCAAGCATCCAGCACAAGATGGTTTGGCACCATCACACTAACTCAATATCGGAACGTTAAGGCTCATAATTTTGGTACCATTCGATGATAATTAATTACCAACGAGTTCTCTTACATTGATTCGTTTCCTTCGGCAAACTTTCACAAGCGACAGCCACCCTTCTACAATAGTTTGTGATTGGGGCATGATGATTTCCTAAATGATGTATGTAACCAAAAGTGATGTTCAGTAATGTGGTAGCCAGTATCGGTAGCAAGCGGGTGCGACGGCATCTCTTTTCTCCTGACCAACGCGGTGCTCATCTTGATCTGGCTGTGGAATACCCGCTTTCCATCAGCAACCGTGGGTTTTCCTATTAGTACGCAGTGATATCCTACATAAAACTTAATATATTGATGATTTGCAAACTGGTAAACAGAGCACCGAACAAGATGCCGCAATATATTTCTCCATCAGCCCATCATAAAGCGGGGTTGGTAGTATAGTATCATGTCAGGTTGATTGTAGTGATCAGTGCCTTGGAGTAAAACATTTAGTTTCGATTAGTAAACATACATAAGTTACCTAAATTGGGCCCCCAACTTATTGGTCTCTTTTTGCCATAATCGGCTGCATTAGAAAATCATCATACGCAAGCTCTTCTGCTGTCGGACGTTCTTCCGGAAGCCATCGAAATATCCTGCGCAAGAAGTTTAGAAAAAGAACTTTGTCCTCCCCAGAAAAATGCAGCTCCCTGAGCTCAAAAGTTTGCTCTGGTATACATATAGAGCCTTTCCAATTGCCTAAGGCCACTATTAGCAAGAGCACCGATAGTAGTTAATCAATACCAAGAGACATACCTTCTGCATCCCAGAATAGGTCGCATCGCTTACTCCTCATTAGGAATTCCTGGGGTGGAGGGCCCATTAGAGATACCATCTCAGCCAGATGCTGCTCATCGCTGAGGGTTCTGTTTTCTTTGGCGAAGAAGAGATGATGGCTCTCTGCAAGATCCCAAACCTTTTCTTTACATTAGCTAGCGTACTTACTCCAGTTTTCTTAGTGTCATATATAGCACATACCATGTTGCCAATTGACCAAATATCAACCTTGTAATCCCATTCCATACCCAGAATGACTTCTGGCGCGCGATAGATTCCCGGCATGATATCACCATAGTACTTTTCTTTTCCGAATCTAGCTTCACCTAGATCGGAGACCACAGGAAGACCTGAACAGACAGGCATGGGGCGGGAGTAGTGAATACTCCGATCGCTCAGAACCTTTCTGGCAATCGGCCGTTTTAATTCATCTTCCTCTATCTTGGATAGGATAGAGCTATCTCTCACTCCTTGAAGTATATTGTTCGGCGAAATATCTGCGTTCATCAGCTCACGTTGTCTACAGCTATCATCCTGCCGCTTATTATTGTAGCCTTACCGGTATGAACAGCACCGCTTTCATGCATAGACGATAATGCTATCAATATAAGCTGGGTGCTTCTTTGGATGAGGTCCTTCGAGAACCTTTGATCAGGAAGCAAATCTTGAAACTCAGTGAAACTCATTCCAAGAGGCTGGTATATCAGGCAGACAAATAATCTCCCTTCTGGCCCAACAACATCAAAGGAGTCAAGGACCAAGCGGAGCATCCTTTTTCTGGTTTCACTGACGGATTGCTCCAAGTGTTTTGAGATGGCTATTTCCCGATCAGAGCTTTCGCTCTTTGCACACAGTTTGAGGGTATAGTAATTCCCCTCCCTATAAGCAATTAGAAACATGACCATGCACTGATTTAAGGAAAGCGTTACCGAAGATCTCGGCAAAGCCAAACAGTAGAAGAAGTGCCATATCCAAGCTTTGAAACCACTTGGTATCTGAAACCGAAAACTTCCCCAATGGAAACGGGATAGTAATTCTCCGGCTTATAAAATGGTAAAGTCTCTTCCTCAATCTTATCCAGGGGATCTAAGGTTACATAGCCCGAAGTAGGGAACTGTCGTGGAGGAAGCCCTTGTGAAGTCACTGTTCTGATGAGAGAAAAAGGGAAACGAGGGATACAAGATTGTGACGCATGACTCAAGCATGGCAATAAATTCCTGAGGTTACAACGCAGTTTCAACATAATTGGGGAGTTGGGGTTCATGTTTGCAGAGAGATGGGTTGTCTCTCTCTTGACTTCGAAAACAAGGGGGCGGCGACTGCTGCAGCAGGGCGGTAAGCATATTATGCAAGACAAGCTACCATCGATAGTCATTCTATTTCTATAGTCATCACTGCTCCCGAGGCATCCTTTTAGTCTTCCCAAGTCTCTATAAGCTCAAATCTCCCTTAGTGTCCGAAGTGCAACACGAAATATGAAGATTTTTTATACACTTTATGATCCGATTGTTCACTCCATACGTGCGAAATCAAGATTAGCTCAAACAGTAGTCAACCTAGGCACGAAGCATACTTATCTTCAAGCCCCCTTGAGTAATGGCTTTGATGAATCGCCAAATTTCAACTTTCTTTTTACTAGCATTGGGCAGCCCAGCAACGTTGACCATTCTTTGATATGTTACCACCAACTCAACCAAAATAAGCCAATTCAGGAGATTCGTGACCACATTATGCACCAAATCCGAGGCATCCTTTCTGAGGCTCTTCGGGAAGTGGTTTCAGAATCGTCTTCATGAATATCATGCGCATAATGATATGTTGGGACACATGTCTCTCCGTCGCGTGGCTGATTAGACGCGATATAAGTTAGGGCTTCGTCATGTTACTAAGCGGTTTATTGCAATCAATATTTACTGGGGAAAACACATTCATTCATGGTCGACCTCAATGACACGGACTACAACTATCAGACTACTCATGAACGCAAGGCATTTATATACTTGTCTATGTTTTTCGCCTATGGGAAGGAAACCAAAATGTCCAGAATGTAACAACTGGATGCGCCAGTTTCTGAGACTATCCGGATCATGCACAATGGCCATGGTCAAGACCCTCTTCGTTCGTATGATGGCTACTATGACCAGAATAGCCAATACATCGACCTAAGTAGCCATGAATGTTGTAAATCAGGGATTCAACTCTACTACTTGATCATAAAGAGTTATCTAAATCTGACAGACAAGAGCAAAACATATAACAATCAATTAAGCCATTAACTACATAGCCGGGCCAGTCCTGTTCGCCAAACGCGGGAAGAGTTTCCAGGCATTCTCGGAATTGATCATGTCCCACAACTCCTGATTCATCTGATAGTTCTCCAGCTCCTCCAAAAACGCTGGGTATGCAGTGATCGGTGCATATGGGAAATCGCTTCCATACAAGATGCGGTCGTGTGGAACCATCTTCAACAGCATATCCAGAACCTGCGGCGACGAACTCAACGCCAGATCAAAGTAGAAGCTGCGGAATGCTTCCATTGCCTTGTCATGAGTTGTTCCTATGCGGTATGAGACTGCAATGTCTGGTGCCTTCTTCATGGGTGTCATGACCCGGGAGATGAGATACGGCAAGGCCCCGCCTGCGTGCGACAGGATGACTTTACAGTTCGGATACTTCTGTCTGGTTCCGCTGCTGATCATGTTCATTGCTGTGCGAGTCGTCTCGTGAGGATAGTCGATAGCCGGCTGGGGTAGCTTCGGGTTGACGGGGTGAATATCGACAGGGTGGGTGGGATGGAAGAAGACGACACAGCCTCGTCTGTTGAATTCAGCCCAGATGGGTTCAACGTCCTTGTGGCCGAGATAGGTGTTGGAAGGACCATAGCGTGTGAACAGAGTGACGCCATCAGCATGCAGGGTGTCTAGTCCATAAGCAATCTCTGCGAGCGCGTCCTCGGTATCAAGTATATCGGGCAGAGATACGAAAAAAGCGAAGTGGTCAGAGTTTTTATCCCGCAGGTCTGCCGCGTCTTCATTCATTCTTCGGACCAGTTGAGCGCGTGATTGACGCTCTGGGGCAATGCATGCCCCTGGAGCTGTCACCGAAAGCACTGCAGTCTTCACACCAATTCGCTTTATCAGCAGCTTAGATGCTATAGCGTTCCAGCTGGGAGTGGGCCAGCCACTAGGGTCGCCCCCTTGTTCTTCCACAGCTGTAATTAGGTTAGCAGAGAGGTATCATGAAATCCGAGCGAGTGACCGTTACCTCGTGCATAGAAAGGTGGAACGAAATGATGGTGAGTATCAATCTTGTTCACTGGCGGCGTATGGCTCCATCCAACGGCTTTGTCCCGGAGCCAGTCGAGAACGTGCTCACCCATGATGCCACAGAAGCTAGGCTGGAACAAAAATATGGTCAGAATGAGTATGATAAGAGTCAAAGTAGAAGACATCGGAAGCAATCGTTCCACGAAACACTCTGCGCCCCCGCTACCTTACAAAAAGACCATGTGGAAATCGGGACGGACCCGGAGGCGCGTCACTACATCGGGTTCTTTCCGAACTTCATCATCACAGTGCCGGATCTTCCGTAGCAGAAGCCAAAATGTGGCCAGGATGAAGATGGACGAAGCAGCAAAATTCGACATTGGAATTAAAAGTGGATGAGTCTTGCATGAATTCAAAAATTCGATATCCCTCCATTCTGTTGACAAACTTACGCACGGCGCCATGAGCAATTCACTCCACGCCCAGATCTCCGGGCTCGCCAAAGAAAATCCACTCTCGGCAACTCTCGTGACTATAGCAGCTTTTCTAGCAACAATATTCAGCGTCGTTCAAGAGATTTTTGCTCCGGTTGGAAAACGCAGACCTCTCCATGGAAAGAGATGGAAGCTCCCTCCTGGCCCTCAAGGAATACCCATATTTGGAAGCCTGTTAGACGTTCGCAAGATTCGCGATGCCCAAGATCAAATAATAGTGTGTGGGATTCCCAATGCTTATTATTTATAGAGAACTGATTGAACATAGAACAATGAACTCGCGAAATATAAGGAGATGACTACTCTGCACCTCGGATCAAAAACGTGGATTTTGCTCAATAGCAAGCGCGTGATCTCGGAAATTATCGCAAAACGCGGTACGCTCACGAACGGCCGAAGCCCTATGCCCGTTGCCAGTGGCATTGTTAGCCGCAACGGGCGCTCTCTTCTGCTTCCTCCCTCAGGATGGACCGAGAAGCGACGAGTAATGCACTCGCTGCTCAGTGGCACAGCGCTAAAGCAGTATGCATCATGGCAGGAACTGGAAAGTCCCCAACTGCTTGCTGAATATCTGTTCCAACCGGAGAGATGGTACCGTCATCACTATCGGTATGCAAACTCCGTAGTCCACCGCATTGCGCTCGGGGAGCGGCTGGTCAAATCAGGTAAAGAGCTTGAGGACGTACAGAATGTTGTTACCTATCTCGTGGGCAGCATCGATCAGGCCTGATCGACTGGTTTCCCGAACTTGATCGTCTCCCCCGCGTTTTGCAGCCATGGAGGAAGCACTAGGAGAAGGTCGGTGATTGGAACGAGGAGGTCTACAATGATTCCAGTTAGAGAGTAGGTAGAGCAAGGAACAGCCCCTCCATCATGGGTTCGCGACGTTCTTTTGCACCCGGACACCAAGTTTACTGGGGACGATCAGGAAGCCATGTATGTTGCTCTGCAGCTTCTGGAGGCTGGATCCGATACGACCCGAGAAGTATTGAACATTCGCTCTGGCAGCTCTTTGCTATCCGAAGGTTTTCCAAAAGGCCAGGGAAGAGGTCGACCGATTGTGTGGTAATGATGGGAGTCTACGTCTGCCAGGGATCGACGACCTTGAAAATTTGCCCTACATTTGCGCCTTGATCAAGGATATCCTGCGGCGGAGACCCATTTTCTTTCTGACCCCTGATCATGTGCTTACCTCGGATATGGAGTTTGAGGGCTACCACTTTCCGGCAGGGGTTGGCTTCGTAATCAACGAGGTACCAGTATGCAACGAATGCGAGGACCCAGAGGAATTCAGGCCAGAGCGGTGGCTGGATGGACATAAAACTGACGCTGTACATGGTCTGTGTGAGGCTATCAAGCTCTACAACATCCTAGACAGAATCCTATCCGATGTTTACTACGCTTGGTGTGGTCGGACACGCCAGGATAGATAACAGGCGTCAACGAAGAGCCTGGGAGGCTTGGACCCAATCCTTGAAATCGAGAAAGAATTGACTTTGTTCGAGGCTAATTTACCTTCATTCCTTAAGTGGGACCCGGACACGCCGGAACTCCATTCAGATGGAAGACTGAATCAGCCAATTTCCCACCAAAAGAACGTTCTCCATGCGAGGTGCGCTTCTCGTAAGTACTATCTCTATATATGTAGCTATTACTCACCTACATGTATAGATACTTGCATCTTCACCTGCTCCTACACCGCCCGCTATTTACTCAGCTCTACTAGGAAAGAGTACGCAAGCGCGATTCTGTAGGTTGAATTGGCGTTAGAGAAGAATGGACAGCCTACAGTTCACAACCCGGAGCGCTCTGTACTTGTATACTGCTAATAGATCCGCCACTGCTTGCGTAATGGCAGCCATTGACCTGACGCACCTAGTTCACGAGACATACCACACAAATGCTACCGATGCATGGTGGTATAACGGGTTCTGTATGCCACCCTCTCTTTCCATTTACCATCTACGTTTCCATTTGTACTGATATCCCGAGTTTAGACGTGTCAACAGCCGCCATAGTTCTCCTCATGTTCTTCTCCTCCCCTTCAATGCTTGACCCGTCTACCATGGATAAAGTCAGAATTGCGTGGAGAGAAGCTACGGGCGTTCTGGAGTCGATGGCCACAGTTAGACGCTCAGCGAACAACACGCTTCAGTTCCTCAAAGCTTTTTATCGGCAAGCAGTTCCTGCAGATGTACAACAAACAGAGAGTCAGACTGCTGGTACTGCTTCGCTACATTCAGATGACATAGCTCAACCTCACACTCCGTTTGATCACCCGGATCACGACTTGACTCAAGCTCCATTCTTTAATTGGGAGGATTATGCCGGAAGTATGGGACAGAGTCTGGATGATTTGGGATTCTTGACGAGGCTTTACTTTCCTGATTATTTACCTTGACACTGAAGGGCTTCTGTTAGCTTCCGTTAAGTGGATCGATCCATCCCTGGATGTGTCTGACAAATGTATTTCGCAGAAGGCAAGATGCACTTGAGGGTCATTTGTCTTTGGGTACTCTAAATTCTATTGAGCTGGAGTTGACTTGTAAAATAGTATGGAGCAGAACATCAATAGTCCTCGAGTAAAGGATTCAGTAAGATAAGTAATGCCCGGGTACATCTGTTGCAGCACTACGACATCCAATCAATACAATCGGAGCATGCATCACTCGCTACTTCTAGAAATGATCGTCCACCCCAAACGCTCACGATCCGGGTCTGACCCGAACTATGAATAGACTAATGCAGGCCTCTGTCACACGACCAATTTCATCACTAGCAGACCCCTTACGCCGCACTCCTCAATTCTTCCCCCTTTCCAAGGATGCCTCCGCACTCCGTCTTGCACATTTCATACTCTACCTCGGATTTTTCTATGCCTACGGGTCAGTTCCGGGTAGATCTGGACCCCATCCGGCGCGCTTGTTCCCAAAGGATTTATACTTAAATCTACGTGATATCAAGACGAGAACAACAGAGAAATACATGCATAGAATAAACCATACACTTTTCTCAACATGACAGCGAAGACCCCCGATATTCCGTCCTATAGCCAGATAGCTTGTATTGGTGCCGGCCTATCGGCCGTGGCTCTGGGAGCAACGCTGAAGAGATGGTACAACCTTGAAGACATCCGCTTCTTCGAACGACATCCTACAAACGGTGGAACGTGGTACATCAACACATATCCAGGTGTGTCCTTCCGTTCTCATTCTCTCTCCTTTCTCGGATGACACCGTACAGGATGTGGCTGCGATGTGGCTAGCGCATTGTATAGCTTTTCCTTTGCTCTGAACCCCAACTGGACTAGGCTTATGCCTTCGAACACGGAGATCAAAGAGTACGTTGACGAGGTGGTTGACACATACAATCTACGTCGAGCAATGACCTTTGGCACGGAAGTAGTCCGTAGTGTGTGGCGGGAAGATGCAAATCGCTGGATTTTATACCTACGCGAACTGGGAACGGGACGCGAATATACGCACGAGTGTCAGATCCTCTTTGCAGCAACTGGACTGCTTGTCGAGCCGCGACCATGTGATATCCCCGGTGCTGCAGACTTCGGGGGTAGAATGTTTCATTCGGCGCGGTGGGATCATGGCGTAGAACTCGAAGGGAAGAATGTCGTTGTGATTGGGAATGGCTGTATGCAACACCTGTTCATTTCTCAATGCCACCGAAGAAGCAGGCTAACCGCCCTTTAGGCACTGCTGCCCAGATTGTCCCAGCTCTGGTCAACGAGGGAAAGATCAAATCGCTCACACAGATCGTCCGAACAAAGCACTGGATATTTCCTGTCTCAAACTTCTCTTATCCTCGGCTTCTGCAATGGATCTTCCGCCACGTTCCTTTGGCCATGAAGCTGCACCGATTTCACATCTTCCTGCTCTTTGAGAATGATTTTCGCTTGTTTCCGATGACGAAGGGGGCAGCCAGACTTCGAGAGAAGCGGCGAATAACAGCAGAGAAATACATGCGAGAGACAGGTCCGCAAAAATACCACGATCTCCTGATTCCGGACTTTGATGTAGGATGCAAGGTATGGCTTTTTTTGGATTTTTTCTTTCTATACTTGATTTCAAGAAGCGTCGAAAAACTGCTAACTTCACGAACTAAAAAGAGACGGATCTTCGACCCTGGCTACCTCAAAAGCCTACATAGTGACAAAGTCCTACTAACAGATGCGAAAGTCGATAGAATTACTGTAAATGGCCTTGAGACTGATAAAGGCTTCATTCCGGCGGATGTGATTGTTCTCGCGACAGGCTTCAAGACTAACAAATTCATCCCATACATGGACGTGATCGGGCGAAACGGTGAGAGTGTATCGCAGCACTGGACCAAGTACGATGGCCCAGGTGCCTACAACTGCTCGGTTCTGAGTGGCTTTCCCAACTTTTTCATGCTCCTCGGCCCTAATGCTGCGAACGGACACACATCAGCCATGATGGCCGCTGAGAAGTAAGTTTAATATTCCAACGCTCACCACTTCCTGTTCCCTTTGCTTCGCATCTAATTATAAACACTAGCTCGATTAACTACGCTCTTCGCGTACTAAAGCCTGTTCTGGACGGTGATGCCTCATCAGTAGAGCTAAAACCCAAGGCCGAGCACGACTACGTTTACTGGGTGCAAGACGCACTGAATAAACGCGTTTATAACGCGGGCTGTGTATCAGTAAGTGGGATATGTATTTCAGTTAACTTCATAACCATCTAACTGAAGTTACAGTGGTACATAAATGACAAGAGATGGAACTCCATGTCTTATCCGTGGACCCAAGGTCACTACTGGTGGAGGAGTCTGTTTCCCACATGGTCCGATTGGCATATTAAAGTGAGTTGGGTCGTTGCTTTCTTTCCTTGCACTTTTATTCAATTTGATCGAATTAAACCAACAAGTATCATATCATTAACTGTCAGCAGAAAACTATAAAGCCATCGGGACGTAGATTCCCCAAGGTTTTATTCCTTGCTCTTTGTGTCGGAATCTTGGGGGTCGTTCGGCTTGGTTACATTGAAAACCTGCCTCCTGAAATTGTTAGAACCTACTTGGCCAGTGTACCATCCAGCATATTGGCTAAGTAATCTCCCAGGAATGATCTGGGAAGAAGGGAGCAGTGATTGATGTATCACATGTGTTGATGCAGTTTGTCCGGTTTTGGTTTCCTCTGAGCTGTTCATTATATTGCGTCTGTTCACGGCAACAGTTTTTGTTTCCCAGTATATATCAGCGTAATGTCAAAGAATGTCATTTATGAGTTCATCAACTTGATAGGTCATCTATACTTCGTTGTTCGTCTTTGGCGTCTCGAAGTTTCTACAATCTGAGAATTCAGTATACAGAAGCCCGTCAGCATTCTCCAATAGAAGGGGGCATCGGACCGAATTCCGTCGAAAAAGTTCTTCCTTGCTCTCAATGACATTGATAATATGGAATGCCTACGGAGAGTTCCGCATCAAGCGTGGAGGTCTCCGCTGATTCATCTGTTTATGACTAGGAGATTTTCAATTGAAAAACCGGCGCATAATCCTCGCATCGTGAGAGCCTGTAATATGAAGTTCACACATTATACATATACATGATCTAGCATCGGCTAGGAAAAGATAACAGCCGTTCTGTCTCGTTGAACAGATGGGGAGGCAGCCATGACGTCGACTGTCGAAGAGTGCCCCAGGCCTCGTAGAGATAAATTTCCGGCACCGTTCCGAAGCTTCATATATAATGGGGTCGCAAAGATGACATATGTCTGTAAGAATCCGCATCACACCAATCGCTCTGTCTGTTGGTTACTATTCCATTCGAAAGGCCTCGGTCCATTGTGAGGTACGGGCAACCGCCAGGAGGATGATGTGAATCGGGTACATCCCAGAACAGTCACGAACCTGGAAGCTTCCCGGACACGCGGGGTAAGAGAGACGGTCTACCTAGTCAGTATTTCCCCAATTCGGTAGGTAATGGAACTGTATAGGTCTACATGTGACTTAAGAGCTTCAGCCGTTATCAGTGTTAGTTCTGTTCCTCTTTCACCCTGGAAGAAGCGTATGATAATGGCTAAGACCGGCTTCCTTTCCCGCGAAGGTCTCTACATCGATCCGATAATAGTAGGGTTACGGAAAACAATCTTTCATCCGCTTACCACATTGCTGTTGGATTTCCTGGCACCAAATTCGCTTTCCTTGTCTCATACCAACAACTGATCCGCATTACCGCAACAACTAGTGTCCTCCTGTGGCTTAACGATTCGTTAACTTCCAAGAGCTTGAACAATTGTTACGGATCATACTTGAGATTGGAACAAGGAGCTGGTCGTGGTTACGGGGGAAAGAGGTGGTATTGGAGCGGGGGTCACTCAGTGTCTGGCTGCACTGGGCGCACGCGTTGTTGTGTTGGACATCATCCCATTGACCTACAATCCTGGTTTGTACTCTGAATAACATTTCGCTTGCATCCCTTATTTGCACAAGCATTCTTTCCAATAAAGTCCCACCGCAGAGAACAAATGCATCCTGTATCACAAATGCGACCTGAGTGATGAGAAAGAGATCGCAAGTGTTTGCGAAAAGATCAGAGCGGAGATTGGTGATCCATCTGTGCTAGGTAAGTGAAGTTAAGCAGCGACTTCCTTCAGCAATTGTCTACTTGACTGATAAGTAAATATGGTAGCAGTGAACAATGCTGGTCTGTCACGCGGGCGTACAGTAGTCGAGGGTACCTACACCGACAATAGCATAACCCTAAAAACAAACTTACTGGCGTCGATTTTCCTGTCGAAGGATTTCCTACCGGCTATGATCCGACAAAAACGTGGACATATTTTCAATGTGGCCTCGATGAGCGCTTACGTCCCGCCTCCAGGGCTACCTGATTACGCAGCATCGAAAGCTGGATTGATTGCATTTCATGAGGTATAGTAGTCTACTGTTTTCTGCTTGCATCCTGCGTCAACAATATACTTATTTGAGTTAGTGTCTTGCCCAAGAGCTTCGAGTCCAGAATGCACCGAAGGTCCGCACCTCGGTTGCCGTGCTGAGCTTCACGAAAACACCGCTTTTTAAAGGCGAGACAAACCAGTCCAAATTTATGATGCCGCTTCTTCATGTCGACACAGTCGTAGATGCCATTGTGGATAAACTCGACAGTGGATTGAGTCAGACAGTCTACCTCCCAGGAATCTTTCGTTATTTTGCTGGCTTGGTGAGTTAAATCGACATCTTTCACTTACTATGGGACAATGACTGAAGTCATGTAGCGAGGAGCTCCGAATTGGGTTCAGCAGCTGATTCGAAGCGGTACCAAGTCCTTGAGAGTGGATTTCAAAGGCAGACAGGAGATTGATCCACAGACTGGAAGGCTTGTTCAGTAATCTGGTAAGGGACCTGGGCTTAGACCCTGTTATATCTTGGTGAACAAGCAATTACGTCCAATCGAATACACTAGCTAGCTTGCCTTATGGCATGGCATGTTCGCAGTTGGTGAGGATAGTCTTGCTTCCTGTTTTCAATAAATTCGGTCACATGGATAGTGCTCTTGAAGGCGTTGATGTCTAGTTATATATTCCCTACAAAGGTGTGATGATGACATTAGAAGTATAAGGGAATATATTCAAGAGGATATATTTGGCATCGCTTTGATCCGAATACTGACTAAAGGATTTGCTTTAATGGCTGAGTTTGAAACGATCATTGGAGACGCTTCAGGATTAGCTGTAAGGTATACCACGGAAGTGTTTTCAGGTAGGTTTCAATGGCGGATACTGAAAGCTTACCGTATCGTTTTGTGTTCCGAAGATAAAAACATCTCGTAGTTAACCTAAATCTTCTTGTATTGGCGACAAATACGGCATCATGGTTGAGTTGACCATATTCTGAATTTCATAGGTAAAGTACGTAACTATATTGTATTTACATATGAGTACTTATTTTGTAGCTAGATGAGTAAGTTGACTTGTGTAGTGTCCTCCATTCAGATCAGTTTCGAGAGAATACTTGGATTAGCGGTCCGCAACGCGCCGAGCCAATATAGTTAAAATATAGTCAAAATTCAGAGTGCGTATAATCTGGCAACTTTTGTTTTGGAGTTTAAGCGGAGATTGAACCACTGACAACTTTTCAAAGGCAAGGACATGTATCACCCGCGAGCTTCGAGGGTGCATCCCACCCTTCTGACCATGCGCAGAGACTTCCAACCTAGCCAGCTGCTCGGTAGTAATTCCTGAGCAATGTCCACCTTCCCTCCTTACCGCACGGTGCGCTTTCTTGATGCGGATCGGCCCTCAACCTAGAATTAGATCATTACACTCTATTTTCTTGAATCTCGTGCGTCGTTTATGAGTTTTTGGCTTATCGGCTGCAAGGATGACCAAAGTCAATCATACATTCATGCACCCTGGTTGTTAAGAAAGTTAAAAGCCCTCTCCTACGTAGTTGCAGGGATCTGCACGCATACCAAAGAACGCGGAATCCCAGAGAAGGCTAATGAGTTGCATATGTGAATACCACGGCCGTCCAGAACCGTAAGGGACTGTGCCACTTCAAGACTCGGTGAGATAGAATCTTTCGATCTACGGGGATGTATGCCCGTCCATATGATGCAAACTACGCAATACACCTCCCTGAAGCGGCGTGACCGCCAGTCGGAGCGTTGAGCTGCGCTTACTATGGTATTGAAAGAGATAAATAGAGGAATGTTGGACGCATGGAAAGTACACATCATTCAACAACACAGAACATTCTCCCTTCCGCTCCCATCTCCTCTCTAATTGTTACATTCCAATTCCATCAAATTCAAAATGACTATCACCAGCCCAACTCCGACTAGCTTCCGGCGCATCAGTGCCAAAGCCCCGGTGGAGGAGATCCTAAAGATGTTCCGTGAGGATGGTGGGCTCGTGGTGGAAGGCTTCTTCACCCAGGAGCAGATTGCCAAAATGAACCGCGAGATCGACCCCCATCTGGCCAAGATTACCTGTGGAACTCACCGCAAGGTCGACGAGGAGGCTTGGATTACCGAGTTCCATGGGGAGAACACCCGCCGCCTCAGTAATCTGCCCACCCTCAGCAAGACCTTCCGTGACGAGGTACTCAACTACGACCTCCTCCACCAGATCTGCGAGGCCGTCTTCCGTAAGGAGTCAGGTGATTACTGGATGTGCACTGCACAGGTTATCGAGATTGGTCCACACAGCAAGGCCCAGCAATTGCACCGCGACACGGCAGAGTTCCCTGGGTTGACCAAGTTGGGTCCCCGAATGGATGAGATCCAAATCAGTTTCTTCACGGCGTTGACCGACTTTACCGCGGAAAATGGTGCAACCCGGGGTATTCCTAAGAGCCACTTGTGGGAAGACTACGAAGATTGGGGCTGCGATGAAGATGCGGTACCTGCTGTCATGAAGGCAGGAGATGTGTTCTTCTTCACTGGCCGACTGTGTCACGGCGGTGGCGAGAACCGTACCGAGGACTTCTGGCGCCGCGGGATCTCGCTTTGCTTCCAGGCAAGCTATCTCACACCCGAGGAGTGCTACCCCCTGATTATGCCGCGGGAGATTGTCGAAAGTATGACACCGTTGGCGCAGAAAATGTGTGCTTGGCGCTCGCAGTATCCGACTTTGGGCGGAGGGTTGTGGCAACATAACTACACTGAGGTGGCTGACGCAATTGAGCTGAAAGCAAACCAGCCACTAAAGCAGTGAGACAAAGTAAAAACAGGCGGCGGAAATGCAGACTAGCTGCAGGTGACCACGGGTGCGGAATGGAAAGCGATCGGATTGCAAGGAGGCTTGCAGTTCGGGATCTGGCCCTGACCGCTATCTTGATATGCTTTATTCAGCTGGTAGTCAATGCTCTGTCAAATGATAGAAACCTACCACCAATTTTCGTGCTACCTTCCTCTAATATATATAAGGTCGTGGTGAGATGTGCCTTTCAGTATGTAGTAGAGATACTCTTGTCAAAGATAAACATAGTAGGCCTGCCCACCAACTTCCTCATACTGATCTCCCATAACGGCGCTTCCTTCCGCTGTTCGATAGGATCCCCTGCACTCAGTATCTGTCCTCACTCTTACACCAACAAGCAATATGGTTGGCATCCAACAACCCCCGCCAGACTATGATATGATCATTGTGGGGGCCGGCTTTGCCGGCGTCACCTTGCTCTACCATCTTCGCAAACAGGGTCATCGTTGCCGGGTGTTGGAGGCCGGGTCAGATCTGGGAGGAACCTGGTTCTGGAACCGTTATCCTGGGGCACGCGTCGACACAGAGGCTCCCTTTTACGGATTGTCTATCCCCGAGATCTGGGAGAGCTGGCAGTGGAGTGAGAAGTTCCCCTCTCAGCCAGAACTTCGACGATACTTCGCCCATCTGGACAAGATGCTCGGGCTAAAGCAGGACATTGACTTTCACACGCGGGTCACGCATGGGCAATTCCGCGAAGACCGCTGGCATATCACGATAGCGGACGGCCGCCACCTCACCAGTCGATTCCTGATCGCCTGCCCCGGTCCCGGTACCGTGCCACACATCCCGTCGTTTCCGGGGCTCGAGTCCTTCCAGGGCACAGTGACGCACTCATACGAGTGGCCAGAGGAAGGCATCGAGCTGGCCGGCAAACGTGCCGCGGTGATCGGCACAGGGGCGTCAGGCGTGCAAATCGTGCAGGACTGGGCCAAACGCGCACAGCACCTGACCGTCTTTCAACGGACTCCAAACACCGCGCTCCCCATGCAGGCTGAGGGCTGGATGCCCGACACAACCCTCACACACGCCGCCTTCTGCAACTACCGCAATACACACTTCAGTGGTGTCAACTACCAGTTCACTCCGATCAACACCTTTGATGTCGCTGACCCAGCCGCACGGAAGGCCTTCCGGGAGTCGCTGTGGCAGCGCGGTGGGTTTCCCTACGTCTACGCAAATTACCAAGACGTGATGATCAACCCGGCCGCTAACCGCGAGATGTACGACTTTTGGGCGTCCAAGACTCGTGCCCGCATCATCGATCCCCGCAAGCGCGATCTCCTCGCCCCCCTCGAGCCCCTGCACCCCATGGGCGCCAAACGTCCGACCGTCGAGTTGGACTACTACGACCAGTTCAACCGGCCAAACGTCGACCTGGTCGATCTTCGCTCAACCAGAATCCACTCATTCGAACCCAAGGGTCTCACTACTACCGATGGCCGTTTCTTCCCCCTGGACGTCGTCGCTCTCGCTACCGGCTTTGACATGATCACCGGCGGTCTCACCCACATGGGGCTTCAGAGCGTCGACGGGGACTCCCTCTACGACCAGTGGCGGGGCGATGGAGGCGTGAAGACCTACCTTGGGATGTCCATCCACGGCTATCCCAACATGTTCTTCCTGGCGGGGCCGCAAGGTCCCTTGTCCTTCTCGAGTGGGCCCATCGGCATTGAAGTGCAGTGCCAGCTCATCTGCGATGCCATCCAGTCGCTGCATGTCGGGGGACACACTATTTTTGAGCCCACAGCTCCCGCGCAGGAAGCTTGGAGTCAACGGGTCAAGGCGATGTTCGATGAAACCTTGTTCCTTCAGTCCCCGGATTCGTGGTTCTTGGGTGGGAACATTCCGGGCAAGAAACGGGAGTTGTTGACTTATGCGGCCGGGTTGCCGCAGTATCAGAAAGATTGCCATAAGGCCTTTGGTACGTGGGAAGGGTTTGTGCGGAAATAGAACTGTTGAGACTTAGGACGCATGATGCTGTATTGCCCTGGGGAGTGATCCTTGGCGCGCTCTTCCTCCTTGGCTATGTAATTTTGCGTTTTGCAACTCGGAGTCTTCACTGGATTCAATATAGTCTGAAGTAAAATCCAACAATATCTGGGAAATGAACATCTTCTATTCACACCATACACACTCCAATGGCTCGTAGTCATGTGTATAACACTTTATGATCTTCGTATTACCCTTCCATAAACTTAGCCCCTCCGCCGAAACCCACCAGTAATCTCCGTTCCAGCCGCCTCAGCCCTGCCCAGATACCCAATTTCTTTCAAGTAGCGCACATTGAGGGTTACAGCCCGCGCCATGTCCTCCTCTACCTCATCCCACCTCTCGCCAGGCCCCCATGCAGATGTAGGAGGCATAGGACTACTCAGAAGCGTGGTTCCCATGGTCTCAATGACATGCATAACCGGCCAACAAGGATGGGCCTCCCCAACCGCAGCTATCGACTCACTCAGCCGTGAGATCCAGGCCGCATACGTGACACTTCTCCTCAAAGGCCTTGTCTTCTGTGCCCCATCCTCTTCCAAGCCGGCGTTCACCGCGTCCCAGAAGGTGCCCACCCGCAGCCCGCTAAGTATCATCTTTCTTGTCTGTAATCCTCCAGTGGCCGCAGCAGTAGTCCTAGTATCCATGGACGAGGAAGATCCAAGCAAACCACTCACTGCCGCGTCCGCGACAGCATCAGCAGTCGAGACGTAGATCCAAGCCCGCTGGGGCTCAGGCTCCGGATAGTATTCGCTGATCAGGACGCACGCACTCACTAGACGCCAGAGCAAGTCATCGAGGTTAGCAGCGTACCGGTGGCTGCGAGGTCCGCCGATAATGAGAGCTGGATTCAGAATGCCTAGTTTGAAACGAGGAATCGTCGTTGGTTGCTGCGCCGCCGTCCACGCCACGATCTGCTCGGCGATCAATTTGCTCTGCCCATACCCATTCGTCTCCCGAAGTTTATGGCGCAGCGTCGCGGGTTCGAACACTACCCGCGGATCGGCGGGATCCCATTGCGCGCCGCCGGAGATGTATTCCAAGCGCGTGATGTGCGGGTTGGAGGCGACGCACGCGACGAGCTGCGCGGTGGCGTGGACGTTAGCGGCACGTAGCTCGGCATAGCTGCGGTGCCAATGCACGAGGGCGCCGTTGTGAATAATCGAGGTGATTGGAGGAGGTACTGCTGCGTCCTCAGACGCATCCTGACTGCTCCTTGTTCCTGCTAGCTGGTTCCAGGACGCATCGGAAAGTCCAAGGTGCGGTCGAGAGAGATCGCCAGGCCAGATTTGCACCTTTGGAGCGTGTTTCACCTCGTCCCACCAACCGGCTGTGATGGCTGCGGCTTGGACGCGCTCGAGACCGGTGGCCCAATCAGGACTGCGGACCAGGAGGTAGACGGTTTGTACGCGTGGATCGGTCAGTAGTTGGTGAAGGATGGCGGTTCCCACGTAGCCGGTAGAACCTGTCAAGAAAACATGGTGCTTGGTGGGCGGGGGAGATTGCGGCGGGTGAGAAGGGGAGGCAAGCGTTAGTGGTGGGCGTGGAATCCCGCTCTGGAGATCTGCCAGCATTAGGTCGAGCTCGTCCTGGTCCTGTGCGGCATCACTTTCTGGCGCATCCTCGTCACTATTCGGGCCACGCTGCAGTTGACGCACCTCGTGAGCGAGTTCGGTGAGCACCATCGCGCGTGGGATGCGACTGAGCGGCAGCCGAACGCCGAAGGTGTGGTTGATAGCGCGCACAAATGAGACCATGCGGATGGAGTCCAGTCCTGCGGCGACTGGGGCAACATCAGGCGGATGATCTGAGTTCCATCCAGATGCAAGGGTAGGTAACGAGGGAGCAAGCAATTGGCTTAGCTTTCGGGCTACAGTGTCCGAGGCCGGGATAGTGGCTGTCGGCGTACTTGTGCGCCAGGATGACAAGTTTGGTTGCTGTTCCACCCACTGCTGGAGGCCCTTGCGTTCTGTCTTACCGGTCAAGGAGAGTGGTATTAGGTTGACAAGCAGACAGATGGCTGGAACCATGTATGCGGGCAGGAGGGTGGCGAGATGTTGTTGGAGCGAGCTATGGAGATCGGGCCGATCCTGGAGTTGCAGCCCTAGGTCATTACGAGGACCGGAACCGCACTGGGCTACCAGCACCAGCTCGGAGCACCCATTGGTTTTTATGACCATCGCGACCGCGGCCTCCACCCCTTCGTGCTTCCGTGCGGTCGCTTCAATCTCCCCGAGCTCGATCCGTTGCCCGTTCAGCTTGACCTGATGGTCCTTCCGACCGACGAAGATCACGGACCCATCTGGCGCGAAGCGCGCCAAATCTCCGGTCAAATAGACACGCGAGGCCCATCTGGGGTGATGAGAAAGCGATGACGAATGGCTGTCTTCCCATGGGGCAGATTCCAAGAATGCCTTGGCCTGTGCATCGGGATTATTGAGATACCCTCGTGTCACGATCGGGCCCTGGATGGCCAGTTCGCCCACAAGCCCCAGTGCTACCAGCTGGTGTGGGTCATTCGGCTTCACAATCGCCATGCGACAGCCGACAGGGATACCAAAGTTGAGCGGATTGGCAGCGACATGGAGTGGTGGGGTCAGTGCAGCAGTTACACAGCATTCACTCGGCCCGTAGCTGTTGTGAAACGCGAGCGGAGAGGAGCTGTGGCTGCTCGTCCAGCGTGCTAACTGAGCGGCAGTGACAGCCTCACCGCCCAGGCGCAACTCCTTCAGCGTTGGAACCTCCGCTGGGTCCAAAAGATTGGCTACTGAGGGCGTAATATCGATCACATCTACCTGGAATCGGCGGATCACGGCAGCCAGATCCGTGAGGACCTCGTCTTCACGTGGGATACACACCACCCCACCCACTAGCAGCGGCCCTAACATGTCCGCAATTGAGGGATCAAAGCTGTAGGTGGCCACCTGCAGCATGCGCCGACCACGTTGGAACATCCCCTGTTGGGCCTGAGCCTCGAATGCGGTGGCTACCTGACGGTGCTCGGCCACCACTGCCTTCGGGATGCCCGTCGTCCCTGATGTGAACACAGCATACGCGGCGTTTTCGGCGGTGGCGCCAGATGGGAGGTGAAGGGGCAAAGGATGGGTAGTGGATTGTCGTAGCAGATCAGCACGTCGATTTGGATCCAGACACAAGACCCGATCTGCGAGGTCCGTCACCTTGCCTTTCAGCTGTTGCGAGCAGATGACGAGGGGCGCATTCACCACGGAAATCATGGTATGCATGCGTGCCACCGGCAGGCCACTGTCCAAGAGCACAAAGGCTCCCCCGGCTTGCAAGACAGCAATTATACTGATCACTGACCAAATAGACTTCTCGTGCGCGATAGGTATCAGCACCTCCGGGCCGACGCCCGCCGCCTGCAGTTGCCGGGCGAGATGGCGAGAGACTGCCAGAAGCTGATGATAGGTCAGCTCCGCATCCCATGCCACAACAGCTGGGCTGTCGTTCCACTGTCCGGCAGAGGCATTCTTCTCGATGCGGGTATGCAGGCATTCTGTGACTAAGGGGACAGGAGTAGCATGCCATTGCTGCATAGTGGTGGCGTCGGAAGAGGTCCAGAGCTGGAGCTCCGAGAGGAGAGAGTGTTGGTTGGCCGGTTGGACAATCCAGTTGAGGACGTGAATGAACCGTGCGAGCAGTTGCTCCGCCTCCCAACGACTCATGCAGGACTCGGTGTATGTGAGCGAGTGGCGGATAGCGCCAGAAGCGAGGAAGCACTCAAGGGACAAGGGGTAGTCCATGTAATCATCGCGTCGCTCGCCCAAGACCTCTCGAATAGGGCTACTGCTATTGTTTGGTTCGTCATCCGGCTGGACGACAAGGAGACTCTGGAAGCGCGTAGCCTGAGCGGGGCCAGATTTGCCCAGGGACGCGATGTGCGCCAGTCCCACATGTTCGTGAGGTAGGCAATCGCCATGTTGCGCTTGAGCAGATGCCAGACACGCCGCAACGGTGGTAGAGCTTTCATCCACTTGTAGACGAACTGGAAAAGTGGCAATAGTGGGTCCAATTATGCTAGCGATGTCGGCACCAGAAACTTCTTCCGCCGTGCGTCCGTTGCTAACCACGCCAAATACCACATCTGATGTCTCGTTGTACCGCGCCAGGACAAGACCCCATGCTGTCTGGATTGCGGTGGCGGCCGTGAACCCCAGATGTTGCTGTTCATGGCCCCAAAGAGACGTGCCGGAAACATGTGCCTGGACCGTCGATTCACCTAGAGACACGGCCCGAGGGAAAGGCTGACCCTCGAATCCGTGGAGATACTGTCGCCAAAATTTCGTGGACGAGCGGGGGTCCTTCTGCGCGAGATGACTCGCAAACGCAGAGAACGGGGGATGGACGATTTGGGCACTTGAGGGATCGCGGTACGCTTCCACTACGGCGTCCAGGATCAAACGTTGCGACCACGCATCGTAGATGGCATGATGAACATGCCAGCGCAGGCGTCCAGGTTCAACCCAGTAGTAAATGAGAGGCTTGCCAAAGGGGGACCCCCTGCTGGGTCTCACAGTCTTCTCAGGCTTCGTGGCTACCGCCTGAGAATGCAAAACTGCCATATAGCAGTTCCCATCAGGAAGCTGAATGATGCGACTACGGAGGATCTCGTTGGCCTCGACAACCCTGGCCCACGCAGCCTCTACCTGCGCCACGGACCATTCCGGCGGAATTTCAAAGGCTTGCTCCGCCCAATATAAGCCCGGTTGTTGTGCGGTCAACACCATGAGACCCGTCTGCATTGGGGTGCACGGAACGAGATGGGCCACTGCTGACTCGACGACCTCACATTGCTGTACGGCCTGCGATAACACCTCATTCTGCTGAGAGGAAGAAATGTGAATGAAACGACTGGGGTGCGAGGAGGCTGGGTGGGCAGGCTCTTCTTGTTGCACTGGTTGGAGCGGTTGTGTAGCCGCTGCCCGGACCAGGTCGGACAGTCGTGGATGGCGGATCATCAGATGGACTGTTAGGGGTATTCCTGCCTGTTGAGCCAGTCGCGCTACTTTCAGCGCATCGATAGAATCGCCCCCCAAGGCAAAGAAGTTCGAGTCGGATTCCACATCTTCCTCCTCTAAATCCAGTATCTGACACCAAATCTCTTTAACCACATCCTGGCTTGGTGCCACATTCGCAAGAGGCTCACCGATGCTCCCCATACTCGGTTGCTAGATGATGATTATAGGTATAATACTATGAGAGGGAGATTAACGGCGGCAGTCGAAAGCCGAGGTTAAGTTGTTCTTTTGAAGAAAAACGTTGTGAGGGTGTGATCCACTCAAACGGGAGATGTATATATATATATGGACAGATTGATCAGCACGTAGATTGAAGGAAGGGGGCAGCCATGCATTCTGTTCAGGCTGCAAATCGGAAATTCCTCTAATGACTCTCCCCCCTAGGCTTTAGTATACTATCTCGATTTTTGTCATATCTCCTAAAAATCAAGGCTAAATGCCCATTGGTATGCCCTACTGAACTTGCTGGGTATAGTGGATGCGATTCACAACTAAGTTTCTTTGCGTTCGATGAATACTACCCAGCTAATTTATGATAGTAAATCCATGTCAGACGCTAACTATGAAAAGAGTGTCTACTTCTTGGGGCACCACCTGAGCCAGCCGTAAGCCTGCCGCCGAAATCAATCCTCTCAGCTCAGCCTCCGTCCAGACCCGAAATACCGCTGTGTCGATATTCCGCTCGAGGAGCGTGTCATGACCTTTCCAAACCTCAATATGCCGCACCACGCGCCACACGTTCCCCTGGACCCCGTTTTCCGTGACCGTCTCACGATACACCACGCCTGGGAACTCGACACTAGAATGCTCACTGGGAGGCAGCGGATCGGTGATGTCCTTGTCCAGACCTCGCTCTGGGTCGACAAGAAGCTTGTTCACCACAGAGATTTGAGCTTGCCCGGTCCCGGGGGTGAGTACTCTAGCCACCTCAGCCAGGAATCTCTCTGGCTGACCCGGGAGATAGAAGTGCGAGATACTGCCGAATCCGATGGTGAGGAGGTCGACGGTCCTCTTCTGCATTGAATGCTGTTGGTGGAAGATAGGGAGGGCAGACATTTCCAGCGCAGACCCCAGAAGCCAAGTGATGCGCGCACATCCGGTCTCGACCGCCAGAGTGGCGTTGATTGCATCCGCCCTTGCCAACATGTGCGGCTCGATATCTAGCCCGATAAACTCGACGTTGGCAAGGGAGACCCCGGGGGTTGCCGCTGCATGACGAGTCATCGCCTGGATGAGCCGGCCGGTGCCGGTGCCGACATCCAGTACGAGCAGAGGGGAGGCGATTTGGCGAGAGGCGATCATCCGAAGCAGGGAGGATTCATTGTAAGCGGTGTCATTGCGTTTTCCGGTCCAGATGTCGTAGTACTCCGCGAGATAGGCGGAGTTGTAGCAGGTGCTTTCCCGCTCGGTGAAACACATTTCCGAGAAAGGCAAACAGGGAGAAAATGGCGCAGAGACGGTCAAATGGACAATATGAGAGGAACTTAAGTGTGAGATGGCAAGCGATACATTCAAAGAATCCAATGCAGAGCCTCGAGAACAAATAACTATACAGGTGGGGCATATCTGCTGCAGGCGATCGGCCTAGTTCATGCACCTCCGTAGGGTTGGGGGTGGGGCGGGATTTGAGTTGCGGTTGCCCTAACAGATCCCGAAGGACTGCAGGAACATTTCACGATTCACTCGCAGGATGCAAGGGGGTGATGTGATGCAGGGAGTCACGTTGCCCACTTGTGTCTAAGATTTACAATGCATACAATTATGACTGAGCGCTAGTTACAGAAACAATGGATCTTACATTTCTACACGCTGACGTATGCTCGGAGATACAGTCGCGGGTCTTAGGGCATATCTTAAACCCAGACCCTCTCGGTACAGACTTCCTCCTTTCATCAAATCTCAGTTTCATTTACCAACAAGAGCGACCATGACAATTCTGAACCTGCCCCCTACTGTCTCCCTTGCTGGTAAAGCAGCCATTGTGACTGGTAGTTCCCGCGGCATTGGAGCTGGTATTGCCATCGAACTCGCTCGGCGTGGCGCCAAGGTTGCTATTGTCTACCATGCGGCCAAAAGCACCCCGGCAGCCCAGCAAGTGGCAAAGGAGATTACCACACTCGGTGGTGCTGCATCCTTGGTTCAGGTCGATCTGTCGACATTGGACTCCGGCCGTCGTGTGATCGAAAAGGCGCTACAGGGACTGCAGGTCTCACGCATCGATATCCTCGTCAACAACGCAGCAGCATATCCCCCCTTTCTTCCAGTCGCAGAACTCGACGGAGCATTGTTCGAACAGTAAGGGACCGCTGTTATGTTTTGAAGCCTAATTCAAGTCAGTATGGCCTGATGTACATTGATCTCGTCTAGTGAATTCATGGTGAATGTTCGTGCTCCACATTTGCTGGTGCAAGCCCTGCTCCCTCACATTGCAGACAAGGACGGCCGTGTGATCAACATGTGAGTCCGGCCATTCTCTCCTGTCTATCCCGGTTTGCTAAGCGCTTGTAGATCGTCCGCCCTGTCTCGCATGGGTGCCAGCAACCTTTCTCTCTTTGCGGCTACTAAGGCGGCGTTGGAATGCTTGGGCCGTCAGTGGGCGCACGAGCTGGCCTGCCCACACAAGATGACGGTCAACAATGTCGCACTGGGCGAGATCGATACCGCCGTAGAAGGTGGGGAAATCCCTGACGAGTTTCGGGATGCGCAGATCGAAGGGCCCAGCGCAGCCAAGCGTCATGGCACCATTCAAGAGGTGGCAAACGTTGTCGCGTTTCTGGCTAGCCCGGGAGCAAGCTGGATCAATGGAAATACGGTCTCCGTGAGTGGAGGTCATCTTTACATTTAGGAGACAGCTAGATAGCAGCATTTCCGAATGGTCAAGGAAGCCAGCCTGGAACTTAATGTCATTTCATTCTTTATGCTGTTTACCTCTTCTGCTCGCAAGCTTGGTTACATCAAGGGAGACGTCCAGTTAGTAACATCCGAATGAGTTCACCTTGGGAAAAAAAAAAAAAGAAACATAGATGATGAATCCATGCCGATGCATTTGACTCTCTGGGCTCGGGAGTAAAACTGGATTCTACGATATAGTCAATCAGTCATATTCCAATCTAAGTGGTTCCAGAAACATCAATTGAAGTATGCATGTGCCCGTTTTCCTGTTAACTCTCCCGGCGCAGAATAGTGATTATATATATGGATAGCGAGTAGTACGTGATATTGAACAGCTTACGGAACAATGAATCTTGAAGTAGGATATTTCACTTCATTCCTGTTTTTCCTATGCTGCTGAGCTTTCCTGATCGCGAGCACGAAGCACATGACGCTGTACCTTTCCCGTTACCGTTCGAGGCAATTCGGCCCTGGAGAGGAACTCGATAACCCGGGGGCACTTGTAGGGTGCGCTATGTTCGAGGCAATGTTGCCGGAGTTCCACCTTGAGCTTGCGCAATGGATGCTGCTCGTACTCCTTGTTCAGAACTACATATGCCTTGATGATCGATCCCCGTTCTTTATCTGGGATGCCGATGACGGCCGATTCGAGAACCCCGGGATGCATCTGTAAAACGGCTTCCACTTCGCTAGGTCCTATGCGATACCCGGATGAATTGATGATATCGTCCTTTCGCGCCTTGAACCAGAAATAACCGTCCGCATCTTGGTACCCCCGATCTCCAGTTAAGTAATACTCCATACCCTTCGCGTTACGAACCACGGGTCGCGTCACAACACCCTGGTCGTCGACGTAGCCATTGAAGACATCATAGATGGAGTCTGCGCAAGCAGACAAGCACACCCCAAGAGCTCCTTCCTCTCCAATGGAGGCTGGTTCCGCCGTCTCTCCTAAGACCTCCAGCGGAACCCCGGGTAGAGGTCGACCCATCGACCCCGGTCGTTGATCGTTGGTGGATTCCGTGCAGAGGAAGACTGTCTCCGTTAAACCGTACCCATTGAGTATGGTGGCACCCCGAGTGACCTGTCGCCAAGCCTCAATAACAGATTCCTCAATTGCCTCTCCAGCACTGATGCAGACTTTGAGAGATCGAGGCGGGTGGGTGGCCGCAAATTGCCGACTCGCGGACGTGACGAGCTGCCTGTAGGCTGTCGGAGTGGCACAGAAGCTGGTGACCGGATACTCGTGCAATATTCTTAGCGTTTGGATGGGATCAAAGGCTAGTCCCGGTGTTTCATCCACGAGCAACGCAGCGCCGTGGTTCCAGGCGGCGAATACCGCCCACGATCCTTTGACCCAGCCCACTTCGGAAAGGCTCCAGAAGAGACTATCCGGTTGGAGTTGGCACCAGTGCTCTCCGGCAATTCGACTGCTCAAAGCTAGAGAGATCTGGCTATGCTGGACCAGCTTTGGCTGTCCGGTTGACCCTGAAGTAAAATAGAGGACGCAAGGCGAGCTTCCCTCCGAATCGATGGTGATGTCTCCGCGATTCGCTTGGCCCATGGAAATTAGGTCTGGATACCCAAGTGCTTTGGGTACCTTTTCGTCGGGCCCTACCTGGATCAAATGTTGGAGGGTAGGAAGACGTAAATGGACGGACAAGACCTTCTGGATTTGAGGTAGGTCGCCGATGAAGGCTTTGGCGCTGACTTTCTGCATGCGATACTCGAGATCGGAAGCAGAGAGTGTGCCGGCCACGGGGCAGACCAAAATCCCACTGCGAATCGTAGCACAAAGGATTTCATACCATTCCTGGCAACGTGTGGCCGAGACGACAATGGTATCTCCCTGTTGGACTCCTAGCGCGTACAACGCGGCGGCAACGTGAATGGAGCGCTCACTAAGCTCACGATACGAGACATCGCGGCGCTCTCCATTCGTTACTAGGACGAGAGCGGAGGAGTCGGCTCTCTGCTGACTCCAGAGATCGATGACTTCTCGGACGAAGTTGAATAAGGTAGGCTTGGGGCCAGGCTGGATTCGGGTCATCTTGCTACCAGTTTGAGAATTCAGCAAGAAAGGTGAGCAGCGTAGTAGCAAAGGCCGAAGTATCGATTTATGGATGGATCCCCTTTTTCTTCTCGAAGTGCGTCGCCGCGAAGCCCTGATCTACATTACCGCTACCAAGCAAATATAATGCGCTCTTTTTCTTAACATCACCCCTTGTTCCCCTTACGTTGACAAGTTATCATTGAGCATACCGTGGCCCAGCAAACAGAATCCGTCCACTATAGACTTATTCTGCATAGGCATACTAAAGGTGTCGCCGAGGAGAGTTTCCTGTCTACAAGCCACGGGCTCTCATACAGCCAACGAGTACGTAGATCATGATGCAAACCGGGGCCCTTGCGCAAAGCGCGATAGAATCTTCATAACCAATTGCGCCCAGCATATGACACGGAGCTCCATAAAAGGGTGTTGTTGTCAACTCTAAGAAGCATCTCAGACACCAGCACACCACCGCTTCCAACAATCATCATCATGCGTTTTTTATGTCTGCACGGCATCGGCACCGGAAATGCCGTACTGGAGGCTCAGCTATACATGATCAAACGTCAGCTGCCAGGCCATGAGTTTGTCTTTTTCCAGGGGGAGCTGGAAACTTCACCCGCGCCAGGTAGAATGCTCTTTTCACAGCAATCAGGTTTTGTGTAGGCGAGGGTAAGACTGACCGTCGCGACAAACTAGGAGTCGACAAATTCTTTCCGGGGCCTTACTACTCTTACTTCACCGTTCCCTCTCCGGACACCGTGCTAGAAGCGGTCAACCGCTTGGAGCAATTCATCGACCTCCACGGCCCGTTCGATGGGATTCTAGGATTCTCCCAAGGGGCTGCCCTAGCCGCTTCCTACCTTCTCTACGACGCCAACCGGCCATATCCTCATGCCGAGTTCAGATGTGCAGTGTTCTTCTGCGCAATCCAATGTTGGGATCTTGAAAGCCCCGGGTTTACGCTGGATAAGGAGGGACACTGCCGTACTATTGCAGAGGAAGGGAAATCCTCCGAGGTTATCGGCAAGACGGACAATATTACAAGCCTTTTTGGCGCCGCTGACCATCCCCTGCTTTGTCGGCAATGGAATGCAACCACACCGCTACTGTGGCCGTACGGGAAGGCTCCAACGCGTTTGGGTCCACTGGCCCAGATCTCACTCCCGTCACTGCATATTGTCGGCGCCAAAGACCCTTATCGGGCCGACGCATTTGCCTTGCAAACACACTGCGCTACAGGTAAGGCCCAGATGGTGGAGACGGCGGCCGGACATGAGATCCCTCGTGATCCCGTTCTGCTACGCAAGGTTGCTCAATTTCTTCACACAGCCCCCTGTTCAGCCCGCAAATGAGAATCCCGAGCGCATGGAGCTGGCATCAAACTCTATCGGACTGATCTGCAGCTGAGACAGGGCGACATGGCTAGCTAGAACTGGTCTACACAAATGACTTCTTATCATGTTTCTATAACTTTTCTGTTCGCAAATGAGATAGACGTGTTCAAATTCGGCTGCGGTCTGGTTGTGGCATAGAGGCCTAGACCAATTCAACTTTCCCCTCATATAGACGACATTGGCCACCCTGGAAGGGAGCTACAAAACTGTCATTCATCGTTTATGATCTAATAAACTTCTTGCTTGGTTCCTTTTCTTTCTAGTTCTGGATTACTCTCATTATTTTACGATGAACGAACCTATCGCCATCATAGGCAGCGGATGTCGACTGGCGGGCGGGTGTGATTCTCCCTCGACGCTTTGGACTCTTCTCCAACAACCGTACGACGTCTCCCAAGACTTACCCCCAAATCGAATTCCCCCATCACGACACAATGCCTCTCCTCGTGGGTATTTCCTTTCACAGGATGTCGCCAACTTTGACGCTTCCTTCTTCAACCTTAACCCCCTGGAGGCGCAAGCTATGGATCCTCAGCATCGACTGTTACTAGAGACAGTCTACGAGGCGCTGGAGGAGGGAGGAATTCCCGTCGAGGAATTGCGTGGTTCTGACACCGCTGTATATACGGGGGTGATGTTCCATGACTATTTAACCCTCAGTAGTCAGGACAATGAATCAATCTCTACATATCACATTACAGGCACGGCGCCGAACAAGGCCTCGAATCGCATCTCGCATTTTTTCGACTGGCATGGCCCGTCTGTGACGGTGGATACTGCCTGCTCATCCAGTCTGGTCGCTCTTCATCAAGCGGTGCAGCAGCTACGGTCAGGGGAATCTCGCTTAGCCGTAGCAGCGGGGGCCAACCTACTTCTTGACAGTCGTCCCTTCATTGGATTCAGCAATCTAGGCATGCTCTCTCCCACCGGAAGCTGCAAGATGTGGGATATTAGCGCCGATGGGTACGCCCGTGGGGAGGGGATCACGGCCATCCTGTTGAAGCCACTTTCCCGCGCCCTCGCCAACGGCGACAACATCCAATGCGTGATCCGAGAAACCGGGGTGAATCACGACGGACGTACCAGTGGGATTACACTACCTAGCGCAGCGGCTCAGGTGAGCCTCATTCAAGACGTTTACCGTCGTGCGGGACTGGATCCCACCCAGCCCTGTGATCGACCTCAGTATATTGAAGCCCACGGTACTGGCACCCAAGCCGGAGATCCGGTGGAGGCAGAGGCGCTAGCCACGGCCTTTTCGCTCACATCTACGCCCGACCACAGCGAGATCTGTCCTGTATGGGTAGGCAGCATCAAGACGGTGGTCGGTCACACCGAGGGCGCTGCGGGCCTGGCTGGCGTCCTGAAAGCATCTCTGGCCCTACAACATGGGATAATTCCGCCAAATCTGGGTTTCCAACAGCTGAATCCGAAGGTTGCACCGTATTGTACTCAACTGACTGTCCCGATCAAGGCTGAGCCATGGTCTGAGAGGTCATCATCCTC